TATTAAGAAAGCTTTCGGGTTTAAAAACCCTTCATCAGGCTAAGGAAGTTTCTGCAGTTGGTGTGTGCTTTTCCTGGATGGAATGAAAAGTAAAGAAGCCACTGAGCAGCCCTGATATGCCGGTGCCCTGCCCATGCCCATGCTATTGCCCTTCACTTCCAACCCACAGCCCCCCAGTCCTGCTACTGCCCCTCACTCCCAGCCCACAGCCTCTGCAGCCCTACTGGGGCCCCTCATTCCTGGCCTACAGCCCCCTCTGCCCCTGCTGGTGACCCTCACTCCACAACCACAGCCCCCCTGCCCCCCCAACCCCCCAGCCCTGCCAAAGAGAGCCTCCAGCTGCCAGGGCTATGGGGCAGGGACCCAGGTCCATAGCCCCCTGCCCCCCGCAGCAGTGCCCAAGCCCTGGCTGCCACCCATGGTTACGGTGGAACAGAATGCTGAGCCTGGCTCCCCTTCCCTCATGGGCAGCACAGCCAGAGCCAAGCCCAAAGGGGGGTGGCGGGGGGGGCTTCCCCCTCTGGCCTTGGGCTTCTGCCCTGTTGCCCTCTCCTCAGGGCCTCTGCAGCCCAGCAGAAAAGACCCAGTGCGACACGGCAAAGCAGGGCCAGGCAGAAAAGCTTGTTGCGACTGCTGGGAGCTCCATGCTGCCATGGTAAGGCACTCCTGCCCACCTGGAAGCAGTAAGACCCTACTCTACGCAGCCACCCCCATTACTGGCAGGTAGGCAGGGGGCACTTCACCATGGCACTGCAGTGCTCCTGGCTGTAGCACTGAGCTTCCCTGCCTGGCCCCACTCTGCTCTGCAGTTCCCAGTCCTGCCCACTGGGCCAAGGAGGCCCCAGGGGGACGTTAATAAGGCAGTAAACCCAAGCCCACAGCACGCAGCTTGCACCCATCCTTGCCTCACACACAAATCTGGGGGGGCATGTGTCCCCAATACCTCCCCACTGGGAGTGCACACAGTGCTGGGGAGCTGCCCTGCCCCCTACCACCTCGTTCCACTCCTCACCTGGACCCTGCGGCCGTGCATTCCATCCCTGAGCCCCAAACCCCACACACTACTGGCTGTAGGCCAGGAATGAGGGTGTTTTCTTCGATCCTCTCAGTCTCAGGCTATGGGTTGAGAAGGGAGAGGTGGATCCAGGTAGTCAACCAAAGACTGCGGCACTGGTGTCATCGGGAAGGCTTTGGCTTCCATGACCAGAGCCCGTTCTTTGGTGAGAGGCAGCGAGCTGCTAGGAAGGAACAGCTTCCACCTCTCTCCGCTGGGGAGGAGGCTCTTCTCAGCCAGACTGGCTGACCTGCTCCTCTGGGCTTTAAACTAAGCCCGCCAGCATGCTGAGCAACCCTTGCAAAGCCAGCAGGCCAAGGCATTTATGGGATCCCACCCCTGAAGCAGCCCTGGAATGAACTGTAGGCAAGGCAAGGGCTCCCAAGGGGACACTTGCATGCCTATACACAAATGCCACGAGCTTGGGGAATAAACAGGAGGAACTTGTCCTCCTCCTAAATGCAAATAACTATGATGTCATAGGGATAACAGAGACCTGGTGGGACTCCACCCACCAGGTATAGACGGCTATACCCTGTACAGGAGGGATCGAGTGGACAAAAGGGGCAGGGGTGTAGCTTTGCTTGACAAAGAGAGCTGTGTGTCCCTGCAGGCCAACATGGGCACCCACAGTGGATGACTTGAGAACCTCTGGGTTAAAATCTATGGGGAACACAGCACAGGAGGTACTATGGTGGGAGTCTACTACAGACCCCCTACCCAGGGTCAAGACCATGACCAGGAGTTTGCCAGGGAATTGGCTGAGGCTGTGCGCTCCCAGTGTCTGGTGGTCATGGGAGACTAACTACCCAGACATCTCGTGGGACAAGCGCTCAGTAAAACCTGAGCAGTTGCAAAACTTTCTCTCGTGCATGGATGGGCTCTATCTGACACAGGAAGTCTACGGGCTGACAAGAGGTAAAGCGCTGCTCGACCTTGTACTGGCAACTGGGGACAACCTAATCAGCGACCTAACGATCAAAGGGAAGCTGAGGGACAGTGACCACGAGCTGATCACCTTCACCATCTGCTGTAAAGCTGGCAAGTCAGTCAGTAATACAGTAGTCCTCGACTTCAGGAAAGCTGACTTTGACAAGCTAAGAAGGCTTGTCAGTGAGGCCCTAAAGGGTCACAACCCAAAGGGGAGGGGAATTCAGGACGAGTGGTTGCGCCTCAAGGGAGCAATCCTGGATGCGCAAACAAAGTCTATCCCATCTCAGAGGAAAGCCAGCAAAAGGGCACAGCAGCCCCCTTGGCTCTCCAGGGAACTGGGAGACCTCCTGCGTCTTAAAAGGAAGACCTACAAAGGATGGAGGACTGGAATCACCATCAAGAAGGAATACTCTGCTCTGGTCCGGACCTGCAGAGAGCAAACCAGAAAAGCCAAGGCTGCAATGAAACTCCAGCTAGCTACAAACATCAAGGACAACAAAAAGTCCTTTTTCAGATATGTGGGGAGCCAGAGGAAAAGCAAGGGCAACATTGGACCCCTGCTAAACCAGACGGGACAACTGACAACTGATGCCCGTGAAAAAGCAAACTTGCTAAATGGGTACTTTACGTCAGTTTTTCACCAGTCCCATTGGATGCCCCTGCCCACTGTGGGTCAGGGAGGCCTGGGTGAGGGAGATTCCTTGCCCTTCAGCGAAGCTGACCTTTTGAAGCAACACCTTGACAGTCTGGATACCTTCAAGTCAGCTGGCCCTGACAGG